TAAAAGTTACAGAATTCTTGGTGGAAGTGTCAGCTGTACTGGTGATCTAGGCAGCAGGAGAACACAGAGGGATAGGAACTGCTCTACTGCTTCTCGTATGGTTTGGTTCCTGAGGAGTAATTATAAATGTGCCTTTATGAGGGCCATACAAGGTGGCCCTCATAAAGGCACATTCCTCCTCCTTTGCATAGGCAGATGTCTTCTGCTCCTCACTGGTTTTCCCTGGCTGGGAGCTTTCTGAGGGGACAGCAGAGGCTTTCCTTGGAGGCTCAGTGGTTCATCAGACATCAGTCAGTGAAGATACATGCCCATTGGCCAGTAATCTCCTACCCACAATCTAAACCCTTAACTCCCAGTCCAAAAGCAAGTTGTTTCAAACCAACCTCATAAGACAACAGCTTAAAAATACTAAGGTTTTATGACTCTTTTAGTGAATCTGCCACCCATGGCTCCAGCTCCATATGAAATCTCCCCAAAGAAAATTCCTTTGGCACTGGAATTTGAGAAATAATAATACAGATCAGAATTCACCATTTAATATCCAGCTTCAAAAGTGAACTTGCTAAGTTATAGGAATTTGAGCTGGTCTGTCACACTGGAGCCACTGATGTGCTTAACAGATGCCTGTTTGGGTTCAGATGAAGTGCTGCAGGAGCACATGATGCCAGGAGGAGGATTAAAAAGTCAGCAGGCTGTTACAAAGGAGGAGTAATTACTTGTAAGCCTTAACTTTTGTTCTTGGCTAATACTGGCTTTGTTTGATGGTTCTTAATCTTTCCCATGATGGACTTCATCTCTGGACAACTTGCAGCTCTTGTTTGATAATGTAGAAGGGTAAAGCACTTACTGCCTATTTGTAAGTCAGGCCTGCAGTAACCACAGTTAGTCCTCAGTACAGAAATGGTGTTTCTGCACTGCCTTTCTTGCCCTTGCCCAAATTCTTGATTTCCATTTAAGTTCATAAAGGCCCTTATGAAATGGGAGTTTCACTTGTGTGAACTGGACTGGAAGGCCAACAAGCATCTTTCTTTAAGGATCAGGACTCTTGGAGGGAAGCATCCAGGGTTTCCTGTGAATATTGACACTCTAGCTAAACTGTTTGAGGAAGTTCAACTTCCATATCTAAGTTTATATTACTTGTATAAATATGCATATAGCACTCCTGTCACAGAGACACAGCTCCATTTTGCTGATACAATTGCACCCACCTTAGAGGCTGAGCTGGCAGTGAAATATCCCTCCTACAACTGATACTGCCATAGGGACAAAATGATAAAATGCTTAAATTTACACCTTGCTTTAACGTGGACCTCTGGAAATGTGTTTCGGTGGTTGAGCAGAAAAGTGCAAAATGGAGAAATCTTTCAGAGCACCTGACAGCACTGATTACTCTTTTTTTTTTTTTTTTTTTTTCTTCCCTAACCAGCAGTCTGTTTATTTTTCAGGTAGGCAAAATAATCTTATTTTTTTAAATAATCTTTAAGCATAATTTGTGTTATGAAACTGAGAAAAAAAGTTGGCATCTTGTTTTAAATAGATTTTCTGATAAATTAAAGAACTTGGTAGCTGAGCTGATCAAGCATGCAAAAATGTTCTCTGGAAACATTGGTAATTAATTACACTAGGACATGAAGGTTATTGGGTAGAGATGAGGAGTATAGAACAAATCCTTTAAATGATGGCCTGTAGTTGCTGATGCACATGGTTTGGATTCTAAAATAAAATGGACAATTTTAACTGTCAGTTTTATCATGAAAAGGTTTAAAGTGCCTAAATAAATTGTCTAAAGTACAGCCATCACTACGTAAGTATAGCACTCGATTATGTATGGTATGAAAGTGAGTGGAAATCTTTAGACTACAATGGAAAAGCAAAGCTTTTTCTTTTTGCTGTCAGTCTGACCACGTAGCTTTTGCTGTTTGCCTTCAGCTTAGTGAAGCAGAAGCTGCGTGGCTGTTGTTAATATTGGTACAAGTCCTACATACCCCATCCACATGATTGATCCGGGATAAATGGAGTGCCTGCAGAAATGAGACCAGTGTCTGCCTGAGGATAACGTGCTACAGCAGAAGTCCTGGGAATTGCAGAGAAACAGCTGTTAAATTTCAAGCATAGGTCCTGATCCACAGCCCTTTAAAAAATCACAGGACCTTCCTTGTCTCTGCAGCCTGCTTTAGTTTTTTTCTGGTTTTTGCAGATCTGTTGAAGCCAAAGGTATTCCCTCGGTAGCAGTGGTGCCAAATCCAGAGTATCTCTAGTCATGGAAAAACTTCAGCAAAGCATACCTGTGTGCTTAAGTCAATTAGTGCTCACACTGATGGAAGTGCTTATGGGCCTGTTTTAACTAGAGCTTGCTGCCCTCTAGTATTACAAGGCTCTTGGCTTGAGGGAAGAGGATGCCTAATAAGGAAATTCTAATGATTAATCAGGTCAAGTTTGGTAGCCAAACTGACTTCTTCTAGCCCACGATGTGTTTTTAAGAGTGGTGGTCTTTGTTGTGTGAATGTCAGAGGCTGCTCTTTGTGAAGGGCTGGAGGAAGCTGATCAGTTCTCAGCAGGCTCATCCAGGGCAGGTAAGGGATTTAGAGAGGAGAGTGAGGCCAAATTGGTGCTGTTTCAATAAAACAGGTTCTTGTTCTGCTCCTAGACCAGAAGAAGCAAAGTAGGCTTTGCTGCTGTCTTGAAAGGTCCATGGTCCAAAGTGGTTCTTCTTTGCATTCCTTATTGAAGTGTTAGAGCACTGTGGGGTGTAACTCCAACAGATGAATATTTTGATTCAGCTAAGGGGAAATCAGCTCAGGAGGTGGCATTTGTAGATTCCTTTCCAGCAGAATCAAAATATATGCCAAGGATTGGAGACTTAGAGGATTGTGACAGTGTGCTAAACTGATGTCATACTTTAGACATCAGTCTACTTGACAGAGAGGGTGTTGTGCTGGTAACTCACTACATACTGGTGTTTTCCTTGATATGCCTCTCACCTTTTTCTTTTTCTCTTTTTTGTCTTCTAATTATTTTCTCTTATTTTTGTCCACTCATGGCACCTTGCTCACTTACGAGAGCTAATTCTACCATCCAGTAGTGGTGCATGAATTAAACATGAGCAAACATGTCTTAATTCCTGATTTCAAATTTATGACTGCTGTCCGTTGAGAGCTCTGATTTCCCCCTCCTCTGCATTTGTTTTTTCCTTTTTTCTTAATTGCCTAACACCTGCCTTCCAAAGCTCTTTGCTTTCCCAGCACTGAGCAGTGCCAGCACTCCAGCTATGTGCACACTCAACGGGATTGTGGTGAAGCTGTCTGTCGGCAGGAGTCATTTGGTGTAATGACAGATATTGATTATTTATTACTTGAAAACATTTAATGAAATTTGACTGCATAATTAGCACGTGAGCAGCCAGACATGCTAGAAGGACAGTGAGTCTGGAATTTGCAAAAATGCTCAAGCTGCAGACTTCTGTGAGGAAGCTAGTAAGAATCTGTCTCTGTAGAGCTTTTTAGAGATCTTTAGGTGTTCTTGAATTTCAGATGAACCTGCACATTATGCATTACTGTTTCAGTTGCCTTTATTTAAAGAGCTGAACTTACACAGAACCTTAAATCCTGAGTCAGATGGGATTCCCCAAGGACATTGGAACTGACGTGTCTGGGAGCAAGGTTTACTTCTAAATACTAAAGACAGTCTGGCACTGGATGCAGCATCATTCATTTACCTTCTGTACATATCAGTTAGGAAGAGTGGTTGTGAGTAGTGTTATGTCATCTACATGTGTTTTAACTGTTCTCCGTTGTTATCTACCCCAATTTAGGTAATAAATTTTACCTTTCAATGATATGTTATTAATCATTATAACAGGAAAATAAGGCTTAGGTCAAAGGGGATCTGATATTCAGACTAAACTTAGTCAGCCAGTACATGCTAATTTCTCTCGGTGTGCATCTTATATATTAGTATTTGCTGAAAGATTTCTAGCCTGTGGTGTGCATCTGCATTTAAATAACTTAGAAAGCTGAGGTACTGTCAATATTAAATTAAAAGGTGTAGAGCATAGTACTAGGAACAGTAATATGAGAGCACAGTTTCCTGATGGATGAAGAAATGGGTTTGGGGGTGTGTGTCGGTTCTTAGAAGA